TCTTTTCTCAGTGGTGAACCTTTAGCAATTGGTTTATTGGATATTTTTGGATTTGAAAATTTCCCCAAAAACTCTTTTGAGCAATTGTGCATTAACATTGCCAATGAACAAATTCAGTACTACTTCAATCAACACATTTTCACTTGGGAGCAACAGGTAATTCAATTTTTATGTTGTTTTGTAATAAAATTTTTAATATATAAACCTCTAACTAATGAGAGTTCATTCACCAAAATGTTTTAAGGAATACATGGCAGAAGGTATTCCAGTAGACCTTGTTGAATTCTCTGACAATCGGCCTGTTCTTGATATGTTGCTGTCACGTCCAATGGGTCTTTTGGCTTTATTGGATGAAGAAAGTAGATTTCCTCGATCTACTGATCGGTCACTCATTGGTAACTTATTGTTATTCTTCTTATTAACTCTTTCTTGTATTTATTAATTACTATTCTGTCTTTATTTATTATTGAATGGTTTTTTTAACAGAAAAATTTCACAACAATGTGAAAAGCAAATTCTATGTGCGACCCAAATCAGATGCCCTGTGCTTCGCTGTTCACCATTACGCTGGTCGTGTGGTTTATCAAGCTGATGGTTTCTTGGAGAAAAACAGAAACTTTTTACCTCCTGAGGTGATTCAACTCCTCCGTCAATCCCATAGAGATATGGTGCGTTTCCTGTTTCAGTGTCCCATAACAAAAACAGGCAATTTATATTCCATTAGCAATGAATCACCTCGTGGAACACCAACACAGGGCTCTAATGTAAGTATTCTTATAAAATGCTCTGCAGTCCCTCCTCACAATGTTTCTGTATTTCTTTTTGTTGATATCTCCTGCTCAAAATTCTTAAGGCAATGTGTGGCTCAAAAGAAAAAGGTGTTTCTTTCAGAACAGAACAAAAAAAAGTTGCTTGCAGCATTTTTGGACTAGTTTCTCATGCTTGCAGGAGGAAAACTCTAAATTCATTGCTTTAAAAGCGAAACTTGGTATAAAATTGTAACCCCAACTTTCTTATGTCAAGCCTAATTTGACATAGGACTGCCAATGTGTAATAATATTTTTGCTGCTACTTAAAGAAAATTTTAAAAGTAATATTTCATTACTCCCACAATTTTCAGGAACAATACAGTAGCAGAGGCTTAGCATCTCAATCTCGAGCCCAACAAACTGTATCCACCTACTTCCGCTATTCTTTGATGGATTTACTTCAGAAAATGGTTAGTGGATCTCCACAGTTTGTGCGGTGTATCAAACCAAATGATGCACGTCTCCCTTCATTATTTGATTCAAGTAAGGTTGTTAAACAACTCAGATACACAGGTGTATTGGAAACTATAAGAATTAGGCAACATGGTTTCTCACATCGTATCCCATTTGCTGATTTCCTAAAACGGTAAGATTCAGTTTTAAACAAAGGCATTAATGTTCAATTTAATCATTTAACATCTCCATTTTCTGACCTTTTTAATGTAATTTTGCCACAGGTACTGCTTCTTAGCATTTGGATTTGAAGAACGAGTTGTAGCATCGAGAGACAATTGTAGATTATTACTTGTGAGATTGAAAATGGATGGTTGGGCTCTTGGAAAAACAAAAGTGTTCTTAAAATATTATCATGTTGAATACTTATCCAAAATGTATGAAGAACATGTGAGTGAAAATATAAATTTTTATTAATTAATCACAATTGCAACACACATTTATATAAGTTCATAAATTTAGCAAATGAAAGGTTTCTTGTATATAGAGGCTTCATTTGCTCTGTAAGTCATTTCATAATCATTGTGAATCTCTCTATTTTGGACATGTTTAGCAATTTCCAGCAGATTGATGTTTTAAATTCATTATTATATATGTAATTAACAGTATTGACTTACTAAAATACTAAAAGTACACTGAAGTTTGTATTATTACTTTTGTTGTTAATTCACAGATTAGGAAGATAGTGTTAGTACAAGCATGTGTGCGGCGATGGCTAGCTAAAGTACGTTTCCAGCGTATTAAGTGGGAACTAGCATGTAGTGTAGTTACCTTACAAAGATATGTTCGTGGATGGCTGACAAGGCGCAGATTTTTGGAGCATCAGAAACAAGCAATGTTAAGAAAACAACAAGAGGAGGCTGTTGCTGCAAAGAACAAAAAAGGTAGAAAAATCTAAAATATTTTGAGTGTTATATGTATTAAAATAAAGCAGTAAGTGAAAAGAGAAATTCTTAAGGCATACTTTATGAATTTAATGAGATTCATATGCATGTTCTCTGAACTTTTTTATACTTGTAGCATTATTGCAAGTACATAAAATCAAATTAATCATCAAATGTAATGATAATTAGTATAATTTAATCATCATACGGTGGTCATTAAAGTCACCAAAAGTTGGCCAAAAAAAATAATAGTCCCTGCCAAAGAGTGAACCCGAAGTATCAAAGTTTGTTATTTGACCAATGTCTTTTTTTTTAAATTTTTTTTTAGAAGTAATATTTAAATATTAAATTAATAGGAACTATTTTGAATGTGTTCCAGCTAAAGCTGCTGAAAATGGAAAGTCAGCTGGAGGATGGTTTAAAGCAAAGGTCTTGCGTCGTTTGTCATCCCAAGATATGGTTGCTGAAAAAGAAAATAATATTCCAAAGAAAGACATGGATCAGGAATCTGCAGCTGTTGTTATTCAGAGTCGTAAGTATCAATTGTTTAATGTGTCCACTCATGGTTTGTTTTTTCTAAATTATTATATTATTTGGTTTAGACTTCCGTGGTTATACAGTAAGACGGAAGTGGGGTGCAGAACTGGAAGCAAGGGTCCGGAAAGTTTTGGAAACTCACAGCAATCCAAATAGTGCTCAACATGCTCTTCAGGTAAAAAACAATTAATTCAATTTCATATTTTTTTCTATAAAAATATTCAGGAAGGTATAATAAATGTTCCTATACATATTTGATTTGCAGAGAGAAGGCTTATCATCGGAAGATGCTGCTCTTGTTATACAAAGATTCTATCGAAGTTGGCGAAAGGGTGAAAAGCCTGTTGCTAATAATCAACAACATAAACCAAAGAAGACTCCAAATCAGCAACCGCCTGTGAGAGCATCAGAGAGACAAGCTGATCTTATTTCATTTTCTCAGAATGTAAGTTTCACATGGCAGTCTGGAGTTAGAGCGAGCTTACAACATATAATCTTGTTGAAAATTATTACCATTTAACACAATATAAAACAAAAATATTAGTGAATTGCACTGTTATTATCACTAAATGAAATAAATATTAATAAATTATCCTCGAAATACTCATCACTATGCACAATTACTTCAAAATTGATATTTAAACTTTCTGACTCTTTAACATGTAATTACTTTTCTGAGTGAGTATGAAGAAAATTTTGGAACCAATTTGTCTTGGGGAGTAAAAACAAGGAGTATAAAGACTAAATATCTATTAATTCTGAAGTCCATTATTTTTCTTCCAGTATTTGCCTATTTTATCCCTTTACTATAATGGTAGAAGAAACATTTATATTATTTTATGATGTTATATTTCCATTAACATTCTTTGGTAACAAGTAAATTATTTTCCTGTAATTTGATTAAAGGTCCACATGAAGAATCAAGAGTCTCATAAATACCTTCGACGAAATAAACCAGGTGTGAGATTAGCTGAAATTAAACAACCTCCTACAGATTATGTAAGACCACAAGGTTTTAAACTTGCACCTCAGTTTATGAACAAAGCTAACAATAATCAGGTAAGTACCTAGTTTAACATTGCTGAAATTTTACTTGAGTGTTTTCCTTTCTCTCTTGCTCAATCTCTCTTATTTTTCTATTTTCTTAATTCTGTTTCATTTTTAAGCATTTTTAATTTTATTTTTTTATTTTTTTTATTCCTGCCTCTGAATTATTGTTATATTCTGTTTTCATATTCTGAAAAATTTACTTTCAGAGATCTGATGTTAAGGTGGCTTCCTCTAATGAAACTAGTTCTTATTATGAAGCACTGCAAGAAGAAATGAGCAGGTATTTCTCACTATTTGAACATAAGATATTACTAGAACATACTATTTGGTAATGAAAATGCAATTACATTTAGTTACAGAAGATATAAACTTCCTATTCAGTATTCTAAATTCAAATAGTTTAATGAGGTAAATATTGGTTGTGTGCTTTGAGTTTGATCATGATGTAATTGCATGGTATATTTATTTTGTGCTGCCAGTCCTTCTCCTGATATGGGAGGGGAGGATGAGCAATGGGATTTGCCATTACTTCAGGTGGAAAGCAAATATTGTGATATAAGGTTTGTAGCCAAACTTCCCCCTTCTAGGTATAAAGACTTTGGTTATTTTAAAACTTAACTTTTCAATAAACAAACCTAGCTGATGACCTTCATTGTTAAAAAGCAACCTTAAATAAATAAATAAAAAAAAAAAAACCTACAGTTGTTACATCTTCAAAAAATGTTCAAACAAAAAAGTGTATGTTATATTTCTTTGGGGGAAAAGAAAGTACATACTATTGTTACTGTTAAACACTATTATTAAAGGACACATTTATATTTCAGAGCTAGAATGGAAACTTTGGACATGGCTGCTCAAAGAAGAGATGTCCAGGCATCGCAAGTTCATGAAAACATTTTACGGGAAAGACATCTACTTAGTGCATGGCATAATGCGCTGCAGTCAAATTTAAATAACAACAAACAAAGGCCATCCAATCAACAGATGAAAGGACATCAAAAGGACTACATTACTGATCGTAATAGGTAAGTTGACTGGTGATAGTTTCATTTTTCATTTAAGATATCTCCTGAAATAAAGCCCTCCTCTTAAAATGATTTGGGCTATATTTTCTTATTTTTTTTCCAGAAGATTTTAGAATATTTGGGATTTTCAGGTATGATTTTAGTTGTCCTTGAAAGAAGTGTTAAAAGTTTTAGTTAGAAATGGTAGAAGTTTTAGAAGCTTTAGTACTTGAAAGAATTTTTACTCTTTTCTATTTTAACAGGAATGAGAGAAATGATGCAGCTATGGCTTGGAAGCTTCGCGGTGCTCAGCAGTCAAATAACAATAATAATGGGAATAATAACAACCATAAAGGAAATCATGGAAATGGATTCGCAGGTGCTACTGACTTGCGTCTTCTTCTACGTCAGTCATCCCAATCTCCTCCTGACAGCCCTATACCCAAGCAAGCTCCTACTGCAGGAGATAGTGACTTAAATGGTCCATATAATTTCCGACAACTTCTGCGGCCAACAGAACATCTTCCTACTGAATCTTTGAGAAAGAGGAAAGGATTTGTAGGGCCCCCTGAAATTGGAAAATCTGATATTCCTTACATGAGAAACAAACCTCAAAATGTAGATGACAGTCCCAGTAAGCGACGTGCCAGACCATTTGTCAGAAAATCATAAAACGTCTCATCCTCAGTAATAATATCAAAATTAAGTTACTTAGTATTTTCTAAATAGTTTCATTGATTGGCATGTTTCTCACAATTGAATTGCTGAATTTTTATTTTTTAGTTGAGTATACTAAAATTCTTAGACATTTGCCAAAGATTCCTTTATGTGTATGTGCTTGTATTAAGTTTTTCTGTCCTAATGTGTTGTTTGTTACTGTACCAATATCTTATGTAAAGGACTTGTAAATATTGTGAAGTGTCGTAAACTAGTCAGTGATAAGCAGTGGTAACCAAAACACTTTAAAAAATGCGTATTAAAATGAGATGTGGAAGGGGTGATAAATAAGAAAGATTGAAAATTTTTCATCAATAGCTGAAAATTGAAATGCATGAAAACAAGGTGGTTTGAAGATTTCTATTTTAATAAATAATCATCTTATGATCCAAAGTAACATCTGAAACCTTAATTTGTATTATGTATGATGCAATTCATAAAATTAGTATATATTAATGTAATGAAAAAATTAATATATTTTCTAAGGTGTCAAATACTCAAAGGAATTGCAAAAGATTTGAAAAAAGGTTTCTCTTGATAGTCAAGAAAACATGTCGAACCATTCATACTTCTTTAGACCTTTGTGTTTGTGGTAGACTCCTATAATATTTCTTGTCTGTCAAATGTAACCTTAAATAATATCACCCAATATTGATATTTAATTATTCAATCTTAATTCTTGAGTTTGTCAATCATTATTTCTATAGAATTCTGTTGTATTATATTTAACAAGAACAAACAACCTTGCATAAAAAAAAACAACATAGAGCAAGATCCTTGCATACTTGTGAAACTGATTGTAATATACATTGTAATCTGAAAGAACCAAAGTTCATATTAAATGAATGAAAGTACCTAACATTGTCCTTAAATTACCATTCATATTTTGTCCTGTTACAGAATTATTAAAATAATGCCATGCAGATTATACCAGTGACGTATATTGCTTTCAAGCCCTGGGCTATCGCTGACCTTAGGAATAATCTTTGTCTATAATAACTACACAGAATCTTTGGTTATGTAATTTTTCTAGTTTGTACCATTTTTATAATATGACCGGATATATTGTAAAACAAATTCATGTTTAAAATTTTTCGTTATATGAACTACGATTAAAAGGCTTCTCTACTAAACCGTATACAATAAACTTCCTAAAGTTTGCTGTGAAATTTTTCAACATAACTTACTAAATTGACAATAGTTAACTTTGACACTATCACATATTTAATATGTTGCAATATAAACCATTACAACAATTATAATTTATTTTGTATTTGTGCACACCACTAAATTGTGTCTTGCACAAAAGCACACATCTAATTTGCTCTGTCTGATTATTTCCCAATCTCCAAGCATGTCAAGAAGCCACTCAGGAAATTGGCAACCTCAACTCTTGGCTGGTCCATATCTTACCAGCAAAGGGGAGAGTAAATCATGCAACAAACGCATGCTGTGTGGCTGCTACTCAGTGTCGCCAGTTTCTTTGGCGTTGCTAGTTCTTAAGATGATTGATGCGCTAAAAAATAAGCGATTTAATACAGATCTCTACAGAACAGATTATACTGAATTTTGAAAAATGTGGCCTGAAATTATTTTGAACATAATTCATCTTGACAGGTTTTTGTTCTTGTAATTTTCTCAGGGTACTGCCAATTACCCACAGTATACGCCACTGGGTTATTAATGTAATTTATTTTTATGTGGAATATCATAAAACATTTGACCACATCATCTTGATACTTTGTAGAGAATGTTGTTTTAAAGGATAATAATTAAGAAGCAAGTAATCCAAAAAAGTTGCAAATCTCTTCAACCAACACTTTTCTAGAATTGCAGATTATCTCATGAAGGAATTAGTCACAAAATTCAACATCATATACTTCCCAAAAAATTGTTGACACAATTTTCTGAAACTTCTCCCAGTGAAATCTTTTAGAATAGTCGGTAAACTAAAAAATAAATATTAATCTAGTTTGGACATATTTCTGAATTGTTTATTAAAAACTTTCGCACCTGCCTATACACACCCATTAACTTGTATTTTCAGAGCTTATTTATCCACAGGAATATTTCAAGATATTTTCAAAAATGCAAAAATGAAGCCACTTATAAAAAAAGAGAACAGAAATAAATTTCAAAATTACTAGCCAAATTAACCTTTTGTCAGTTTTCTCAAAAATATTAAAGGCTTGTTTTTATGCAAATGAAAACTTTTCTCTGGAAAAATGAAGCGTTTTCAGACTTCAACACGGTTTTCGTAAAATAAAATCTATGGAAACTGCCTTTTTTCTTCTTTTCTTAAAGATGTTACTTCATCAATGGATCAAAATGACGCACGTATTGGTATACTCGGCGGCCGGATACTCTGATCGATAGTTTTCCGTGGTTTCTCATCAATACCAAGGGAATGACGAAACAGTACCCTAAAAAACAGGTCATGGGTCGCGCCCGATTTTCCCTTCCACTTCCCTGTCCTATCCTCATCCTTTACTTACACTTACATGCATTACGGGAATGGGTTCCGCCAAGGACGTGGATGGGTAAAGGAAACTGCGACCCATCTTGTGATTGAATATTTTACTGGAAGCCACAAAACTATGGAACTTCGGACCATTGAACGTTTTTGCTATTATAATCCACACGCGATTTATGAAGAATAATTACTTTCGTTGAAGTGAGAGGAGATTGGGAGAGAGCTGTTATTTCGACAGCAATACTAATAAACTAAGATGTGTAATAACAAATCATGTCTGCAGCCCGTTTTCCATTGCAAATAGTTTCAACAACACCAGAGTGATTATTTTTATTCAATGTTATAAGCGCCTGTTATTATGTATAATGTGCGTGTTTGTATGTGCACATATATTTCACAATACAACCATATTGGTAAAGGAGAGGAAGATATTCTGTAGCCCAAGAAAACGTGCATATACCATCATGCAATTTGATTTGGCGCCGCAAATCGAGATGTTCAGATGTCTTCGCCCGCCATTCTTGAGAAAGCACATGTACCATTGCGGCGAGATTGCGGCTAGGTACGGTTGACAGTTGGAGGAGTGGACATTTCTCATAATGTTATTGAATGAAATTCCTAAGGTATGGTAAAAAATATTAACTTTTGCGTTTGTCTTATGAACTATTATGGAATCTGAGAAAATGCGAGAGATATTTGGAGTTTTGTTTTGCGATTGAGAAGTCAAGAATACTTGACAGAGGTTATAATGGATGTCGGTGTCATTCGGGTTTAAAGATTAGAATACGAATCAAATGTTTTTCATGCAATGTGTATCGTGTAATAAATGAAGTTTATAAAAATAACGGTTAGTTCAGTGCGTAATTAAACCGGCAAGTGATGTTGTAAGTATGTTTTTTAAAATATTTGTTTCATGAATGACGGACACATTATTCCACTATTGTCTTCCCTATGTAGAAAATTTGCATATTCCATATTTATTTATTTCCTGAGATTGTTCATTTCCTTACTCAGTGTTTGCTTTTGAGAGTGTACATGTTTTATGTGCATGGGTAAGTGATGAATTGACACAGTCCATGAAAAAAGGTCAGACCCAAATGATGTTTTGTGAAAATCACATTCAAATATCTAATTGTTGAAGGTCTAATGGTATAGTCATGGCAGTTGTGCCTTTCTATGTAATAATATATCATGTTCAATTAATGTCATGATAATGTGTATGTATGTTAGTCGTAGGAACTATTTGTTATGAATAATATTTACTGAATGTGGTCATAGTGATGAATAAAACCGAAATAATCACTTTATCTGTAAAACATATTATCTGATCGAAGTTATTGAAAGTCATTGTCTGGAAAACTTACCACTTTGTCTAGCCATTATGCATAAGAATAAATAAGTGTCAAGGTCAATGTAATAATTCCCTCTCTAGTTTGCAAATGTACATTCCTGCGTGAGTTGTCGCTTAATATTCTGGGAAAGTGCATTCAATAGTACCCAGATTTTTAGGCTGCAAAAATAATAAGCAAATGCCTTCCATGTAATTTCTGCAAGCTTGAAATTCTTCGCCTCTGTTCGCTATTTATTATATATTTTATTGCCTGATGTATTTATTTGTAATTCAGTAGTTTTTCAAAATTTGCATACACGAACGAGGGTGGGTACATATTTTTATGCAAAGCAGATATTTATAATTACAATGTATTTTGGAAATCATAGTCCTCAGATGTTAAGAGTCAGCAGCTCACTTCAAGAACTTCACATGCAGTACAAGTACGTTACTCTACAACTCATTACCAGATGACATTAAACAGTTGAAGTTGATACACAAATTTTAAGTGCTAAGTAAAATGTTTTCTGCTGCATTAGTGCATCTATGCTATTAGAGACTATATGGAGCTTAAAAAAGAGAAATAATATTTATTTTAACATTTTTGATGTATTAACATTTGTACTCTATAATTCAAAAGAGACTATATGCAAGCTGTGGGTTAATGAGTTCCTTCTTAATGAGGCTTTTTATTCAGTTTCTATGATCCATTCCGTTAGCAAATGCTGAGGGGTTTCATTTTTTGTTTCTGCATATTAATATAGCTTTGTATTCTAGCTAACTAAGAATAGCTTTTAGGCACACATTTTGTTGAGCTCTCCTTTTGCTAGTTGTGGTTGGCGTAGAGCCAGGGAGCACAGGATGCTATTTTGTTAGTAATACAATCAAATTGAATTGTTATTTATTTACTAATTCAAATAAGTTTTCTATTTTCAGTTGTTGCTATCCACAGTTTGTTGAAACTTTTATTCATCAATCAACTATATATAGTAAAAAGGTGGAGTAGGGATATTGGAGCTCTAGGATACATCCAGATTATACTTCTACCCTGTACATCAAATCCTTTGGGGGGGGGTGTATTTTCATTTAGGGTGCAGTTGATACTTTACTATACTATACTTCCAACCCACTTTAAGACAAAATGTACTTTACCAAACAGTATGTTAAGAGGAGAAAACAGTATTCAATTGTTCACCCACAAGTGCCACATTTTGAAAAGCATCAAGTGAACTCTTGAAGTAAATTCAAAAAAAAAAGAAAAGATAATTATTTCTTCAACTCATATTAGCTAATATGCGTAACAGCTTGGCAAAGGATTAAGAGAGTTATTATAAAATTAGTATTACCATGAAATATGCTATGGAGATGCTAGTATATAAAACATATTATATATAGACAAGGTTGAATAAACTTTGCACAGTCCTTAAAAACATACCCAGTTAAAAAAAACTTGTAAAAAACAAATTTTGTTTGCTAGTATTGATAACTCCAATTTCATCAGAACACCGATGCAGTTAGCTCAGGCCAGCATTATTGCTGGCTTTGCAACGACTCTGACTGGGAATTTCCCTGGTTTCTCCAATAGCTATCCGGCATATTTCAGGGAAATGCCCTAACACCTTTCACACACTAAATGCATTACTCCTCCAGTCATGGGAGTTTAGAGCAGTGCCTCACAGGGGAGATATCTAGAGGGGGAAATCCCTTGCATGCTGACATGTAGGTCTGTGTCAGATCTTACCAACCAACAGGAGAGAGACACAGCGATCTGGAATAAAACATTCACTATACTAGTGGGACTAATGACCATAGCATGTGATGTGTCTGGAAACTCAATCACATAAAGGCAACACAAAAACAAAATTAATATACTGTAAAATGCAAACTACTTTTGCAATTGTGCTTCATGTTACTTTGTAAGATTTTCTTAACTTGAATTTGAATGTAACAAAGTTTTAACACACACTTAAATTGTTTTGAAAAAAATTATTTTTTCAGATTACAGGAGGTCGTGCAGAGGCTGTTCACAAAAAGTTTCAAGAAGAAGAGTGCCAAAATGCTCATAGTACATCTGTATTATCAGATCATCATTTAGAAACATATCTCAGTGCTTGGGCAGAACTTCCAGGACCAGACAACGCTACTGGGTAATTTTACTTCCATAGTGAATAATTTTAATAGTTTAATTGTTAATCTGTGCAGGTCCAAAGAAAAAATGTGTTCAAATAAAATACATAGTATTCACCAATTGTTAAATGATTTCGGTTTGTAAACCAAATATAATTTCATGTTTCTTTACAAAATCATTACCACTTTTTAAATGCCATTGATTGGAGAGTCAGTAAGGATGTGACATCTAAACCGATGTTTTCAAAACATTGGTTATTCTATAAAAACATCAATGTTTCAAACATCAATCAATGAAAGCCAATATTTTTTTAACATTGACATTTTTGCTCAATGTTTTACATTCTCAATGTTTTGTGAATGAAAAATTTCCATAATCACAGTTTGAAAAAGGTAAAACACGAAATAATAAATCATGTTCTTGAATGAAGTGAAAGCTATTTATTCAGCCTTCATCAAGCAGACTATCTCTTCCCTGAGAGATGGTCCTGCCTGATATAGTGGTATTTTCTGTGCCTTTCCTCACATTTCACCATCAGAAAGGCAGTCAATGCATGCGCAGTAGCCATAGGGTCTTCTTCTGTGATGCACTGCGAAAGCTCTACTTCTTTGAGGTGACCCTCAGCACTCACGCTCTCAAGCTGTTTTCTTAATTGTTATTATTTCTTAGTTGTTTTGAAATTTAAATCCTATTTTCCTATTGATGTATTTTTATCATCAACGCTTTACTTTTTAACTTCAGTGTTTCGAAACATGATGTTTTGTTGTTGTTACATACCTAGGAGTCAGATCAATCGCCTTTTAATTGTTTATAAAAATGTCGCTAAAACTATTTTTTGGAAAGAAAGTTTTCATTGGACACAATGTTATGTCACGAGGTATTGCTTCAAAAATAAGAAATTAATTCATGTTATTGCTTAAAGCAGGGATAAAGAACTCATAATAGAATGTAGATATATGATGTACTGCAAGACTTTGAAATGTCCCGTATATTTTGTATAAATGGCAATATTTCTGTCTGCAGTCCTGGATTTCAGAACACAGCAGAATGGATTTTGGGAGATCGAATTTCGTCAAAGGCAACTTCACTGTTTATTCAATCTGGATGGTCATTGCATCGTTTGTTAACATCCACTAATGAAGAATTACGTGAAATTGGGATTGCATTTCAAAGCGATCGTGCAAATATACTTGCTGCAGTTCGTGCCTTTCATTTAGTTCCTTGGAGGACAATGCAGACTATTAGCCTTAAACCTGGAGGGCAGAGTAAGAAACACAAAGAGTAAGTATGAAAGGAGTTGATTTTGGACATACAATTAGGGATGTTTAAAACTTCAACTGAAAGTCTATTGTTATTGACTTTCAGTTGATCCCTTGTAGCACCAAAGACTTTCAGTACCCATGATTCAGACTATTACAAAAATTGATTTTAATGTCCATTTTACTTCTGCAACTTTCTGTATGATATTACTATCAAGAATACAGTGAAGCCTCTCTTTCAAGGACTAATTTTTCTGGGAAGAAACACTGAAATCCATTTTCATATGCAAAGTATTCCCGTTAACATACCACTCCTCACCTTGAGTACCCGTTAACAAAATTTTTCTTAATTTACCCTTTTTAAGAAGGCCACTTTAAGGAAAATTGTAAGCATACAGTACACTGAATTTTAAGTAGGAAAAATGAAATGGGTGACATAAAAAGCATTCGTGCGATGCGATTCATGCTTTCAGAGGGTGGGGGAGATTTGTGAATGAAGTAACAATAAACTGTAGACACTGGTGTACTGTAGTATTATGGTTTCATGCTCCATTTCAGTTTCACTTCTTTTAATGAGATGGCAGAAATGAAAGTGACCTAAAGTTTCATTCTTTGAATTAACAGAACTTTCTGATTCTTTAAATTAAAGATTTTACCTTCCCTTCCTGGAAGAACATCAGGTGCAGTAAAAAATAATTGTCAGAAGTCAGGGATATAGACTTATCCCTGATTATAGTGTTTGTGTAGCATCCTGAATTTTAAGCCCAGCACTCTCCCAAGGCCCCTTGCTGGAAGTATTTTAATTTTTGTGTGTGTGTGTGAAGATAGTTATGAGCAGATTTGAGCTTGTAAGATGTGTCATGAATACCCAAATGACTTACTGATTTTACACAAGAAAATGGAAGGTAGTTACCAATAGACAGTCACTGTCTATTAATAACCCCCTAGAGAAAATATTTACTACTTAGTATGAGAATATTCACTACTAACTGCTTCACTGTGTGAGATAATTCAAAGACTGATCATCAAAATGGATTTCTCTAATATACAAGCAGAGTTGGCACATTCTAAAATTGGGAAATGTCATGGAATTTTGTTTCTCAGGGAGATGTTTGGGAATTTTGTTGGTGCCTAAGGATTTTTGATATAATTTATAATTTAACATAATTTTGATTTTTGCTGAAATCAATTGACATCTTTGAAGATGCTTGGGACTAGGTAAAGTCAGAGAATTGTTTGGCAAATATAGTTACATTTCTGATGGTGCTATTGTTTTCTATCAAAAACCCTGCAGTTAAAATTTCCAATGAAATATTGAAAGATAACTTTTTGCTTGTCCTGAAACCACTTCGAAGGGTGTGTGTGTGTGTGGGGGGGGGGGCAGAGGTATCAATCACATATGTTCTTGACATATGTAAAGAAAATAGAAACTTAATAATAATTTTTGCTCAGAGAGCAGTAATGTATACTTCATTCAAAAACAAAAAGAATCTTTCAAAATTATGGCTTTTTACTGTCTCACTTGATCCTTTATGTTACAAAACGTAGTACAATAAACAAATAGGAACAATGTGTAGAGATACTAAGATAATACTAAGACATAGCATATAGGATGCATAATACGTTTAGAAATGAAAGGTAACATTGTTTTACTTTAAGTGTTGTTATTTTCGTCTATGAAATTGTAAAACAATTAAAAATAATGATAAGAAATTTTGTTTTACATGTATGTCAATATAAGATCTCGTTGCAGGCATATAGTTTTTCTCCTGGAAACTTTCTCACGTTTGACTCTACAGCTGTATATTGATGCAGCAACTGTTGCATGGCTTCGGCAACGGATACCAAAGAAACACAGTGATAAAGAGCGCTTAATTACTTCTGTGAAAGAAGCAATACAAGCAAGTAGGATTCTGATCAATATGACTGAAGGGATTTACAAGTGCACCAAACAAGTGAGTAATATTTACAGTTATATAGAGATTTAAACTTTTTAATTAATTACTATAAGTAGTCTTCTCTTAGTTAATACCAGAAGGACATTGGAAATTTCTGATAAATTCCCAAATTGCAAAGCTATGCACACAAGCCCCTTGATTCTTTTTGACATTGCATGATTGTTCGAACACTTATAATGCACTTTTTGCGTAAATAATTTATATTTTAAAAAAACTGAAGGATCGGTATATAAATTAAAAAATGTAAAAATCTACTATTTTATTTTTTTTAAATACTGTTTAAAAAAGCTTAAATACAAACGTTTTGTTTCTTTAAAATATAATGAAAGAAACTATGAACAGTAAAATCTGTCTAACACAGAACCTCTGTAAGATAAAAACTTGTCACCCTGGACAAAAAATCTGAGAACAGAATGATTTTGTACATGAAAATGATCTCCATAAGCTGGAAACCTGTCTAACATGGAAACGGAATTAATTTTAGAGAATGTAAATAGATTATTATGTGGCTAAGATGGATATTTATTTTTAAATTTCCAGCACAATCTTTGGAATGGCATAGTGGGAAGGGTAACAGCCTGGGAAAACAGAGTAAACACTGAGTTATTCACCTTATACCTGGTGTTTGGGAATTTTTGTCAAACACAGGGAGTGTTTTGCTGCTTCTTTCTCAAACAAATGTGATTTTCAATTTCTCAAAAAGCGTGATTTCATTGCTGTTGTATCGAATTGTAAATGTTGTCCCCGCTCCATTCAATTCTCAATGACATCTCCACATTTCCATCAGTCAGCAATGGAATTTTGGGAAGGGTGTCTTGCCATTATAACATAGCAGTCATATGGTTGATGACTTGTAGACCACACAATTTAATGACCTCTTTGTGAAAAGTGTAAGAAAGCTGATTGCTAGTGTATAAAAATGTCTTTAAAGCATACGTGCTAAACTCTTCCACTACAGAAGAAAATGAAAGTGATTGATGAACACTAGAAGAAAAAAGACCTAGTTGCGAAATTTAAAGTGAGTAAATTAATGACTTTTACGAATTAAAGACAAAATTCAAAACGAATTGTTAAAAAGACGAATATTAAAAATGTGTTATGTAGTGATTTTTTTGTCAACCCTCCATAAGCTAGAAGCCTGCCAAGACTGACATTTTTTAAGGAACGATCAGATTTTGTCTTGCACAGTTTTGACCGTATAAATGTGTCGGATTTATGCAGATTTCATAAAAAGTTTTAAGATTAAACTTTTATATTAATCCCCTTTTCTGCAAGTAATATTTTGTTACACTAGATTTGCATAGTTCATTGAATTGACCTCCTGTTATTATTGATGTTAATTAGATTTTTCCTCTACCCAAGTTGGTAAATGACAAATGCACAGAACTAGTGAGACATGGTAGAGCAAGAGGAATGTTGCCTTGAACTTCATTTTAGAAGAGTGAAAAACGTATTAAATTCACTTCGTATATTTTGTATAGAAGAGAATAAAATTTGGAGATGTCAAACATAATCTAACATAATCTCATAAAGCATGATATTTATACAACTATTTTTTATGTATTCTTATTGAAACAAACATTTTTTGCCTAAATTCTCAAATTTCAAACCTTTTGTACCAACTTAGAATGTAGTTTTTAAATGTAAACATTCCATTGTTAGGTGGTTAAGAAATACTTTGTAGGTGTCATTAAGACCAAAAACATCACCTCTGAATATTAATTGTTAACATCACATATGCCATTCTTGTTTATAATTTTATATCAAAGTTATAATCCTTTGGGTGAACTGAAGGTCCAATACAAAATAAAAATATTCACTGTTATACCATGCAAAAATACTACTTTTCAGTTCTATTGAAATTCAATACTTGAACAAAAAGCATTTTGTTAAATTAACGATAATTGGTGGCATTGCCATCATAGTTCTTTGAAAAAAATCATGGAAGGTTCGAGTTGCCTCCATTCTGATATCTTGTGCTCCTCTCCACTATCATCATTATATTCTCTTATAATTAATACTTCAGAGAGTGCTTCTGAGTACACTTCTGATCATAATTTGAACTTGAAATAATCATTCAATTTTATATTCCTTAGAGAGGAATATGTAATGAATACTAAATCGTTGAAAACACATTATCAAGCCATCATATGGCTTTCTGAAGTTTTTTATTTGTAAATGGACATTACATTTTAATTTATTTTTATGTTAATAAAGTATTATTATTATTATTATTATTATTATTATTATTATTATTATTATTATTATTATTATTATTACTTCTACTATTACTAGTATTGTTGTTGTTGTTGTTGTTGTTTGTTACAAAACAGCAGTGACAAATGTCCTTGTCAAGTGTACCTTTTCTGCTTAGAGTTTTCTTTTGTTTCACATGTGCTCGTGCTATTTAAAGCAGTTGTTACATATTGTGTTTATTTTGTATTGCAGCACTGCAAGAATTTACCTCAACGCCCTGTTGATTTCATCGGACCAAAAGACAAGAAAAGCTGGCCTATGTATAAAAGAATAGTTGTTTCCTCAGTATTTCTAGTCTCAGTTAGTCTCTTGTCACCTTTCATTGAAGACAAGATCTCTCGCACAGTTCTTAGTCCTCTTTGCAGGTTACCAATAAAGTGGTGTATTGTTTTTGCATGGATGTGTGTCTGATTGTTAGTATTTGTATCATATGTTGAAGTGTTTGGATGCAAATTGGTTTCACTTAAGAGGTAACATAGTACAAAGTAACACGTGTTTAACCTCATTAAGTATGTGAACGGAGTGATTAGACCTATCTGTGATAAAATGTAGGACAAACTAAAAAATTACCTTTAAACTTTTATTTTTGTTGATGTGTTATGTGGTCTTTAAAATGTGAAAAGTATTGACCTGACCTGGTCATCAAAATTGTTACATGCACTAGATGTGAAATGGGTTAATTATTAAATAAACAAGTCTTAACTGTTTCATGCCCATGTGAGGACATCCAAATGAAAACTTCTTTTTGTAACGTCACATTGCACCTAGAAAAATTGTGAATAACTATTGTTTAGGAATACTATGTTTTAATATCTATGGCTTATCGTGAGGATGTCTGAACAGTTGTTGGGTCTGCTGTTTCAGTACTAGAGAACGTTGGACATTTCACATGAGGTTTGTGCATCAACTAAATGTTTTCTCAATTACTAATAAATTGAAACATTCTAAAAGAAAATTCATCAAATTTGGTGCTTATGTGGACTCATCAATTCCAATTTTAATTTGTGTGTTAAGATGATCCCTCTCTGTGATTCCTGAGGTATGCTAGAAAAATATAACAGAAAAACAAGTTCAAACATGTTTGCAATATGATAGTTTTTAATAATTCAATTAGAAAAAAAATATTTTTATCATTAAAAAAAAAGTGATGGAGGAGAACCTAATTTTAGAAGAAAGGCCTATAGTATCCTTAGAATAGACATACATAGTATATTTCCAAAAAAATTTTAGAATAGGCATACTTTCAGCCTGTAAATGTTCTCAAATATGGTAATATTGAACTCTGGGTGTTTGTAGTGTGAAGTTGTTGAAAGTAAGAGGATGCAGTATAAGTAAAATCAAGCTTATGCGTAAATAGTAATATTAAATTCATTGAATTTTCACCCCTTATAACACCTCGAGATTCTGAGTGAAGTTTCAACATAATAAGATGCTTGTGGAGCATTAGTAGTGGCTTTCAGGTGTGCTCTGTGCAAAATGCTGCCTTGCAGATCTCAGACTTCATGATATATGTAATGAATGTTTGTATACACTAGGCAAAGTGTAGGCATTGTGCAAGGTGAAAAGTTATGTTTTCACCAAAATTAGTTAACTCTCAACTAGGAAACAGTTTGTACTTGGCAGAAAAGGGTAATGTGCAACAATGCAAACATTCCCAAAGATATAAATTATTGTTTTATAGTATTATCTAGTGTTATTGGGGATGAGCATGAAATTAATTGTTGAATCAATCTGATTACTCTTGAAGCTAAGTGATGTTCACAATCTCAACTGTATCTGTCAGTGTGTTTTTGGTACCTTAGTTTGTTTTAAGATAGTTCTATATCTAAATAAGGCATTTATAGGATATATTTTACTTGAAATTATTATTATTATGATGATGTTTTTCTTTTGGTTTTATGTACAAATAAAATGAAATCCAAAGAAAGAATTGTAATAATTGAAAAATTTTGACTCATGACATACAATTCCAATGTTTGACAGGCAACTTAATGTATCTCTAAAAGTACTTGAAACAATTACATTTTCTTATTTGCAGAATAATAAGAACAATCTGTTCTAGAGAGTGAACCTTAGTGAATGAAATATTTAATTAATTAATTCTTTTATTTTTAAGGTAATTTATTATGTGATTGTAGGTTTTTGAAATTTGCGAAGAGAGATCTGAGCTCTTCTGGAAATAGTGATACATCAACAATTTGGGTTCATTCTCTAGGGAAAACAGTTAACAATAACAAAAGCAAAGCATTTAATTATCTCAAATACTTTTGAAGATATGTTTTAGTGGCAGTGTTATGACTGAAAATGTCATTGTGGAAAAGGCTATTTCAACCTATACCACAAAGGGCCATGCCACAAGAGTAAAGAAAAGCTAAAATATTTCAAAAAAGAAATCCAATAGGAAATATAGTTCAAATAATTTTCTTATAAATGCTTGAAGCATTTAAAAGGAAATAAATCAACCTAATAACTGATGAAAATAAGAAAATGGAAAATTTCATGAGTTTTCTCAGTTTTCAGGTACAGTGCTACCTTAAATATTTTGAATGGAGTACTTAGTTCATGGGTACAAACCAAAATATCTTTTTGTTTTATTCTTTATACCTTTGAAATGATTTTGTAGAATGTAATATTAACAAGTCTATTAACGTTTGACAAGTATTTTACAGTTAGAAATTTGCTTTCCTTCGAATTCATGTTTATAAATCTTTTTGATTTTTGGATTGATATAGAATATTGACTTTTTTGGCTCAGAAAAAGAGAATTCATTAGAACAAAATGCAGATGTCCACACAGTTTTTCACCGAAATTTTTAAATTATAAGTTCTTAGAAAGTGTCAAAAGTTGCAAGAATAGAGAATTTCTGATCCTCTTAAAGTTACTTAATTAAGTCACTCATTTTTCTGTCTTTAGATTGTGTTTTAAGAAATACAAACCATCGTTGAAGTTTCTTCACCAAAAAATAAAATTTCGATGTAAAAGTATCTGAACAAATGGTGAATCAATGTAGTGTGTATTTGTTTATTGATTCATCCTTTTTTACAGGATAGTGTATTATCCTTATATTACAGTTTACTTCAGTGATTATAATTAATGAAAAATACTTGTCAACTGCTAAATATTAACTAATTAGAATGACGAAGAGATTAATTATTTCATACTTAAGCTCAAGTTAGTTGTCAATGCCTATTATTCTTGGTGTGATAACTTTTCAGTATTTTGATGGAATGAATTCTGTTATTTGAAGTGTTAAACCTCATGCTTTAGGATCTCCTCAAACATCTGTTGCATAAGTTAAAAAAAAATCTACAAGATCATGATGAAGGAGAAATTTACTTTTACGTAAATAATTTCTTTAACTTATTACAGAATGCTCTGAATTAAGCATATTTATCATTGGTTAGTTTTGTTATTTTCTTATGTTGGGTTTCTAGTTTGTTTTTTGAAAAGATCATGTTTCATCTGCAATAAGAAATGTTAAGCCTGGCAATAATTTTTTACTTCATCTTGCTCTTATTTGAAGCAGATTTACTTGTTTAGGAACACACACTCTGTACCTAGGTTCCTTGCTTGAAGTTTCCTACTGTTGAAACTTCTTTTGGCTAGTTTAGTTTACCTTACTGTTGTATAATATCTAGTCAAGTGTAGAATTGTCACTTGAAAATTAAATTTTCAAAAAGGTTTATACAGTCCTGATTCTTGTATTCGTAGTGGAAAATATTTGTGTTTATTAATTAATCATGAAGTGTTACTAAAACTTAGAATTAAAGTCACAATTGACAGATATGAAATCTTGCCTAATACAATGGAAAGATAACTGTAGCCAATATCACAACATTCACTTCTTAAAATGAAGTTAGGATTGTTAAAACTTGTAATTAAGAATGTATCTCAGTAGGAAGCAGCAATTAAACAAAACATATCTATTAAAATTTTGAAGAGTTAGAATATTACTATTGAACTGAGTTAGATATCTTAAATTTGTAAAACTGTCAGTTGGCAACAATGAATAAAGGTATATTTTAAAATTTCATATTTCCCCTCTGTGTATTATTATTATTATTATTATTATTATTATTATTATTATTATTGTTGTTGTTGTTGTTGTTGTTGTTGTCGTCATCACAATTTTTATGGAGTCTGAGGTGAAGAGACATGCAGAAGAATGCCACACAGGATAAAGGAGGGAAGGGATTTAGCAAAATGCATTCTGGAGGACAGAAAGAAGGAAAAAGACGAGAAAACTGGAGGGTTCTCCTGACAACCTGGAGAAGAAAAATATGTGGTAAACCAAGAAGAAATGCGGTGGTCATCAGACTGGCCCAGGGGAAGACTTTCGCTGAGGTTCTTGGGGAAATGTGGAAGATAAACCCGAAGGCAGCCAAACCAAGCTAGGATCTATCGTCAAGACGTGAGTCTGTGTATCTTCATTGGGGGAACTTATTGTGTGATCATATTGTAAGTCATTTGGGTAGTTCATGAAGTTTACAAAACAAATGTATGTGGATTTCTACAAGTGGCGCGCCATTCCTAAAACTAGGCTCAATGTTCTGGTATGTGGATAAACCAGAAATAAATTTTGTTTCATGACAAAAGGTCAGCTCTCTGAGGAGGTCCAAGATGCCTGACATAAAAAGAGCAGAATTTCTGAGTGTATTTCATAAGGAAAAGTTCCATAAAAGTGACTAATGTTGGGTTGCTAGCCTCTATCCCTTAAATTTCAACCCTGGGACAAGGTCATAAAATAATGTAGTACACGCACTGATATCTCAATTATATAGAGATCAGTGAGCATATGTTGCAATCAGAAAGACCTCGCCTTTCTGCGTAAATGTCTTGGTAAGTTGTTATCGGATTACTTGCGTTGCCAGGGCACATGATAGAACTTTTGAGAAACTGATTTCTTTTTTCTTAATAAAATACTGCACATAGCTAAGATACATTTTATTTCGTGTCTTCAAATAAATGGGATAACATGTTACAATGTTCCTCAGTCCTAATGGTAGTACAAGCTTTATTAATAAAATATGCTCTGCTGTCTTTTAAAAGCATTTTTTTCACCTATTTTTAAAAGCATATTTCAAGACTTTTTAGGGCATAAAATTCCTCTCCCAAGTAATGAACATGGCATGGCAGGGTGGGCTGGAGCAGACCAGGACAGGGTGGAAATGGCCAGGATGAGGATGTAGATTAAATTAATTTATTTTCCTGTCTAAAATCTGGAATAAATTCATCTAATTTAAACATATTTTATCTAACTAAAACTAAACACTCGACTACTAAAAAGTAAATTAAGTTACAAGTTATGTTCCTTTCACTGTAATGTAATGAATGTGTTCAATAGGTAAATGATAATCTCCATAGGTTTGATAAATCCTCAAATGCAGTATTTATAAGGAACAATCTGAGATTAGGGACTTACTCCTGATCCCATTCGCATGAAATAGCAAAATAACAAGAACTACATTTTACTGGAGAATTAAAAAGCTCGATTAAGATTATCATTAAACTTATTTTATGTCTTTATTTTCATATTTCATCATATGAATAGAATGTGAAATTTAGTATTTGGTTTTCAATTGTGGGCAACAACATTTTGCCTGACATGCCCTTTATTACAAATTATTGATAGGTACATAAGATTTTGTTGTGTAAAATTAAGCAGGAAATTTTTTTTTGGAGCGTGTCATTTTATGAAAAGATTTATTCTTAGGCAATGAATCTATTGAAGTCAAAATATCAATTTCATAAATTATGTGGATCATGGCATTTTGCAGTTTCATGAGACTCCAGCAATTAGAACTTCAAACAAATTATCTACAGCTTGAAATGCCTCAAATATAGTGTCAGGAAAAGGGGAAAATAAATTTTTGCATTAATAAAAGATTTGAATAAAAGAAACATAGGAGTATTTGAACTTTTTTTTATCATTATTTTTCATCATTATTACTGTTATTGTTGTTTATTTTTAATATTACTGTTTGTTTTTACTTAACTTTTTTTTTGTAGTATGTCCTTATTGTTTTGTGTGTCCTTTTTTGACACCTACCACTGATGGACTTTACGTTATTCTTCTTTTATTTAGAATGTCATAAATAGAGTGGTGCAATTTGCCCTAGTAACTACATCCCAGCAGATTTTTTTATTCAGTTGTTAGCTGTATTACGAACTCGAGAGGAGCCTTGTAAACAGGTAATTGAACTTGTCTGTGATGCTTTCCAACGGCCAGAAGAAGGTTCACACCTTGCTACTGATGTTGAAAATGTAGCTAATACACAGGTCAGATAAAACTGGGTATTCAAAAATTGTTTTATAAATACGCAAACATTGATTATGAATTTGACATTTCCTTTTCAGGTAAAAGCTGTAATGGCTGGAGGTCTCTGGGGTGAAAATCCTTGGCAAACAGCAGATGCCAGTTGTTCATCGTACAAAGCTTCATAGAGAGCTCAATTCCAAGAGGGTTGGCTTACATCTGTTGAAGGAAAAGGTACCCAGAAGCAGTGATCATTGGTAACCAGACTGCAACAGCAATATTAGAATAAAGACTTCTCAGGCCTCTCAGACCAATTGCATGCCCTATTCGGTTAACACTTAAGAAAAATAGAGACATTCTCAAACTGAAAATTACATATGAAGGATACAAAGAAAATTATATTGATGTAATTTGAATAAAAACTTACAATGAATACAATTTTAATGAAAGAATTATATAAAGTTGAAGATTATGTAAGAACAAAATTTTATTTGTTAAATATTTTTATAAGTAACACGAAATAATTTTTTCACTCCAGGTTACCTTACATCTTGCATTAGCACCAGCATGACTGGCACTCTCTATTGGCCCTCCTCTTGTTAAACCTTTCTTATTATTTGGAGGATTTTTTCCTGATCTTTGGGTATGTTCAAAAACCTTTAATTTACAATTTGCACTGTTTTCCCAAATACTAGAATAAAAATATTACTTCAAAATATATTTTTTGTAATAACGTTCTGTTCTGTCAACATAACTGAACAGAGGAACAAAAGATACTCTTAAGGTCTGGTTTCCATTATGATTTTAAGGGTCCACCATCCTTTAAGATCAATGCAAACAAGTTAGTTATAACTAAAGGTGACGCATGAGTATTTCTGCCTTCCCACCCCCACCCAAAGTTTTTATTTATGATTTCTTTTTATAAAGTGGTGTTATGAAATGTATTGGACAACACATAGCTGATGTTGCAAATAACAGACTTGATGGGTTATAAACCTCAGTTAGTTTCATGGTTTACCCATTTCAATTGTGTCCATTATTTGCTCTATATTGACCTAATGATGTTAATAAATATTATGACATTATTACAATAATTACTTGAATATTTGAGGAATATTTGTTCTGGTTTTTACAGTTCTGTCCTGAATATTTCACTTGGTTTCGCTATGGAAATGAGGCATTACTTACAAATGAGCGGTCTGGTATTGATCATATGGATTGCATGGACTCAAACAGCATGTGTCATCAAAATGGTCAAGTAATTCCAGAGACCTTAAGCTTCAGTGAGGTATGTATATTCTAAATTTTCATTATATTAATAGTATTTTATTTTTAGAGATTTTAATATCTCAATTTTGATATTTCAGGATGATTTTACCATGGATATCTGCAGTCTGTGTGGTCTGGTTGTAGGAGTTCAATTCTTCGCAAATTTAGCTTTATTGGTCAGAACTCCTTGCTCAGATTGATTTCTCAAAATATACTCTTTTGTAAATCCATTTTTTCTACTAATACATAATATAAAATTATTATTGATATCAAATGATGTCTGCAGAGTATAACTAGGGCCAAGAAAGTAAGTGATTTATACAGTGTGAACTGTTCCTAATTGAAGATATTTTGAGTTTAGTCTCTCTTCCAAAATATAATTTAGGTACATTAATGTTGTGTTTTTTTAATAAGCATAGATAAATATTAAGAGAAAATTAATGTAACTCTTTGGCAACTTGTTCATAAGTCATAAATCTGAAATAAATCTAATAATGTGAAGAAGTCACAATTTTTTTCTTTGGTAACATACTCATATCTAGTTTATGATAATCTTTGCAAACTTATGATGAATTAAAATTTTATTTTTTCAGTTTATTTGAAAAACCTTTTGTTTTTAAAAATATCTTATTATTAAAAAAGAAAATAGTATAATTATCTCTTCCACCAATTTTATATTGTTAATTTTGATGTTAGAGAGAGTTAATATTAATGCTATCTATTTTTAATTATTTATTCATTTCATATAGTTAAATTTATAATATTTTTATTAATTTAATGACTGTATTAAATGTTATTTTATGCAACATGTACTTTATTAACAACAATACACTTCCATCTTCTTGAAGAAAATCCTTGCTATGCCCATATTTTGAGTGTATTTTAAACATTGATTTAAAATATGAGCCTAGTTTCAAAATAATTTCTTCCAACTTGTAAAATTTTCCTGCAACTAGTGCACCCATGCGAGAACTCTTGAATGTTAAATCCCACCATCTCCCCTATCTTTCCATTTTCATGTTAAGGAGAAAAGTTGTTGAACAAAATGTGTTTATTTGTTTAAAAAGTGTATAAATGTAACTTCCAGAATATCAAATTTTAAAAAATTGATGTTTGAATCAAATTTTCAATATATGTAATTTTAGACAGACGTTCTTGGAACAATTCACAACACTTTCCTAAAAACATGAAGTATTTATACAATCTACCTTGACAGCCTTTTGCTAGCACAATAACATATTTTCATCCTTGTATGTTACATAAAAAAGTGATAACCATTTTTAAAGGTGCACCTATGATTTCCCTCAAGAATAGTGTCCAGTGAACTTGATGTTTCCCTAGAAAGAATTTTTCATTGATGCTGAATATAAAATTAAGTTATTTAATGACTCATAGTTAATATTTATATCGTTAACAAGTGATTTATTGAATGACTTTCGTAGTACAGAAAATAAAAAAAAAACACAAATTTTTGAATATGTTTCATTGCTTGGGAGTCCAGCTGAAATCGTAAAAGCCTTATACTTTGGTTTTTGTCTTGGCGCGCCAGGCCTTGTCTTCACGACGGAATATCTCACGGAATTTCGCGTCTTTCTCGGTCGTGCCACTAGATGTCGCAGGATTGCCAGCACTGCTCGATACGGTCGCGATCCTGCGACATCTAACGGCACGACTGAAAAAGACCGAAATACCGTGAGATACTCATCGAAAAGACAAGGCCTCGCGCGCCAAGAATAAAACCCAAGTATAGAGCTCGTTAAACCTTGATGGCGCTATCGATAATATTCGATAGTGCTGTCGACACTATCGATGCTTCTGAATATTGTCGGAAATATTTTTTAATAAAATGCATTCTTCTTCTATTTATCTATCATAAAATGTAATTATATAGAGATCGATGGTTCAAACACTATTTCGGTTTTGTATTTTATTAATTTCAGAAAGACAAAACTCACGTTCACGTTGAGCGTCAATTGTTTGAGTAAATACTTCAATAGCCTTTATGCACGGAGGCGTTTACTAACACATAAGTTGGCAACGATTAATTTATTGAAATAGTATAGTGATATTTACCAACGCTTTTTCGGGGTAGCTGCGCTGAAAGAAAATTCCATTAATTTAATATTTTCAAAGAGGTTTGCATTTAATGACAGAATTTAATAGAAAAATTGGTAAGATGTTATTTGAATTAACTTTTTTTGTTACACAATTATACCACAATACTACTGTGGTTTATTTATTTACTGAAAAACATGATAAATTCAACGAAATAAATTTTTACTCTTCCCACCATGGAGTTTTTAATTTTTATTTCGATAAAACTGTCGATATTATTCGATATTCTTTTTCAAGACTTTTTCCTTCCCCACTAGAACATGAGATCCGGGAACGACTCATATGCCGGTTTGCATGGGAGCACCTTACTCCATGTATTTCCGCCAACGGGAGCCACACTTGCCGGGGCAATCTCTCTAAGCCCCAGACCAGTCTCTCGGCATGTGTGGTAGTGTAGTGCATGCAAATGTGTGTGTATAATTATGTTTTTTATTATTATTTTGTTCACGAGGGCAGGGGAAAATCTTTCAAAGCGGGGCCCGTCCTCCACAGCGTATGGGATTCACAGCTAGCTTTTGCCTACCCACTAAAAACCCCTCCCATTCCTCCGATTCCCTTCCCGCGGAACCGCCGTCAGGCATCGCATCACTCGAAGGGCAGATCGGCTTATCGCTCTTTGCCAGCCGGTGTCACGGGATACTCCTTCGTAGTCGCTCCTCTAACCGAAGCTTCTTCAAATCTTTTGCGTCACAGGTGGCTACCGCATTCCAGTTCTCTTGAGGCACGAGCATCCTAATGACGATGATTTCAGGAGTCATTCCCTGCAGGAGGAGTCGGAGTTCTTCGCTCTTGTCAACGAAGCCTGGACAAGAAAAGAGCACGTGCGCCACATCTTCAACCAACGAGGAGTCATCGTCCAACTGGAAACAGAGTTGGTTTGCACGGTAGTACCCATGTCCGTTAAGAACTGGGTCAAATAATGATCCATATCTTCGTGAGTGTGTGTGTGTTTAAGTGTGTGTGTCAGAGGAATCGCGGGATCAAGGATGAGGAAGGAAAGATCGCGCGCGGTTCGTGGCCCGTTTGTTAAGGAATTACTCCCACACCCATTACTCGTAGTTTTTATTGGAGAAACCACGAAAAACAGTCGATCAGAAAAGACGGCCACTAGACTTCCCCTTCATAAATATAATTTATTTCTCCTTGCATAAGAAATAACTTACTACGGATGTGTTAAATTTAGATTGTAGATAAATATATTTATCATTTCTTTTGAAAGAAAAAACAATTCTGGGCCTCAATTAAGTCGGGGCCTGAGGTAAGTTGTCCCAAGTTTGCTGCCCCCATCCCCCGTATGTCACTTCAGACAGCCGCTGAATTCGTCGTAAGTATAAAAACCGCCAGGAGCCTCGGTGGGTGAACTTACTGGCCTCTGGTCACCCATTGCGGGGGTTTGATCCCGGACGAGGTAAGTGGATTTTGGAAGAGCAGAAAATCCACAGTAGCCATGTCACGCTTGAGGGTTGTAAAAGAACATTGGCCGATGCCCAGCAAAATGAAATACCTCAGTCAATATCCCGAATTCTCACTTTCTCTCAACCAACAGTTCGGATATAGTAACTGAGATCGACATTAGCGGAGAAAGTGTTAAATCCCAGGCGCATTTAGGGGACCACGCCCACGAGGTGCGCCCAGACCCGTGTCGAAAATAGCGCCTTTAGTATTAGTTATGTAATACTATTTACATAACAATTTCTCTCCGAATTGACACAACTCAGACATCATTTTCTGTAAAACTCATTACAAATTAGTTACAAATTACTCGTTTTTTTAAAAAAATTGAACATAACTTTATTTTTAGATCTGTTCCCATGAACACATTCTATTAAGAAAACTGTTTATCTTCATAATTGTACTTGTAGGAAGGCGACGAAAAAATTAGAATTTTTGCAATTTTCGAAATATCAAGGTTTTAAAAGTCACACTCTTACGTTAACACTCTTAAACGTTCTACATACCATTCAAAAACAAAATTTAATAAAATGCTATGGAACCATGTTTTGAAAATTTTGAAACAATCCCAGAGGCTTCATGTAAAGTACCTTCTAGAATTAAAATATCGGTTTCAAATTAAAGGGGCCCCAACATTATCAATTTGGGAGAAAATCGGCTGAACGATTTAGCCGCTTGCGTTCACAGACGGACGGTCAGATGTTTCGACGTTAATCGATGTTTCGGTATCAAGGTCCCACAAAACATGGATTCTGGCTACATCAAATGTTAAGAGGATTTTTTGCTCTTCTAAATTTAGCAACTGAATTTATCAACATTTTTGTTATCAGGACCCTGTAATAAGAGTTATTCGGCAGAAAATTCGCCGTTTTTTCGCAAAGTATTACATAATTTTCTCTCTGCCACGGGAGCGGTAGATTTTTCTTTTTTCGAAAAAAAATGGAGGGTGATTGCGGAATTCTTTGTGCAGATTCGGATTCAGCGTGTCAAAATACATAGATAAACGTGTTTAATGTCTGTGGGTCTGTCAGCTTCTTTTGTGTATGTGAGTGTGTAGTGTATGTGCTTGTGTTATTAGAATTACAGGTTTCTCAGGTACTGTATTACTCAATATTTTTTACTGAGCAATTATTTTTTTACTATTCCAAAATATTTTTATACATACATATTTTCTCCCTCATTCTGTATTGCAGGTAGCTATTTGTAACTTTGCCTTCTCAGGTTCTCCTTCTATTCTCACCCAAGCAGTCCCATTTCTTCTCTCTCATTTTGAATCGAAACTCTTATTGGTATAGGGCAGTGGTGTAGAAGAATGGGGATTAACACCCTTTCCTAAAAATTTTGGAAATGATTTCATTTTTAGTTTGAACAATAATTTAATGTAACAAACTTTAATATGAGTAAAATATTTGTGGAAATTTGATATTATATAGATTAATAATATTTTTAATATAAAAAATGTTTGAAATTCAGTTTTGCCAGTTTGCTCATAAATTACTAATATCTACACTGATACCAAATATCTGAAATTGCATTTCATGAACATTGAAATTCTATATCAATTTCGGAAAATGCACTATACAAAACAATGGAAATTTCCAATTGTTAATAAGTTTTTGAGTTGAGTTCCTGCAGGAGATAATATTTTGAAGGAAACCTGTTTAATCTCAAATAGCAAAGAGAGGGGTTTACTTGATTAAGAAAAATATAAACAGAGATTTGAAAAGTTCATTTCCAAAAGAGAAAATCTCATTACATTTTTTTTGTTTATAAACATATTGTTTTATTGTTCCTTTATTGCAATGATTCTTTTTTCTTTTGACATTGTCAAAAATTAAGATTCTATTCATGTTATTACTTTTAATATACTACATACTTCAAAACATTTTAGATACTAATATAAATCTGTCTTCAGGATTATAGAGTAGATTTTGGCTTTAATGAGATATAAAGTACATTTTGTCACAAAATTTGATACTCTTTGAAAGAAA